TTGTTACAATTATTGAAACCTAAACGGTTGTATATTATTTTATGTATCCTATCTTAACAAGATCTAAGACCGTCTATAGTTTACGCGAATAGTACATATTTAAATAAAACACTTTAACGGTTTAAAGCGCGATATATTAGTTAAACTTATTTGAAAATGATTTTTAACTTCGGCCCGACGTTTCGTCTGTTTCGACAGTCTCCCGAGTTAAAAATCATTTTCAAATAAGTTTAACCAAGATATCGCGTTTTAAACCGTTAAAGTGTGTTATTTAAAAGATCTAAGACTCTTATAATACTTACACAGTAAATATTAAACTAATATATTTTCGAAATATTTCAAGGGAATTTATCGATAACTCTACGCACGTCACTAGTTCCTTCATTTACCGTTATAATAAAGTTCTCCGCGATAATAGACTTAGCGCTTTGTTCAATCATTCATTAACGTCGGCGTCGGTACTCCGTTACCTCCCACTTACGTAATATATATATGTATATGTATTGTTCAAAATATATTCTGCAATGCAATGTAATATTAATGATTTACATAAGTCAGTGGCTAGAATATTTAAATGTATGTATGTAAAAATGTATGTAATAAAATATCAAGGATTTTTCTTTTCATCATTATAATTAAAGCCAACACAATAATGTTAAGAACATCAATATGATCAGATTTAGTATCTAGCAACTAACGAACAGGTAGCTAAATGGTTAAACGTATTGCCTATCATTTCGTTAAGCGCGAGAGGTCCTGGGTTTGAACCCCGGGGAAACAATAGATTGTTTCGGGCAGGCAGGGCACAGAGTTCTGATCAACTTGCTTGTAGAAAAAAACGATCAGTGAAACGAACACAGAAATATGTCCGCTCCATGGCGACAGTCCGTTTTCCTAGTCGATTATATTGGTTTGTAAATATAATACCATTTTTAACTGCATTGACTATCACAACAATTAATTTTCTTATCTGATTAAGATTGATCTACCAGTATGGATGTACTAGCTCTGGCTACAAAAGTTGGGAGGGTGGTTTCAGACGCCATACATCAGGTTTAACTTTAAAGTGGGCGAGAGATTTAACACGAAATTCATTCCCTTGTCAGTTATAATTAAGTAATTAGTACTGAGTTATTGCTTACTCAGCGTACTTTGAGATATTGAAATTAAGTTAATGCTTTTTATTCATATAAAACTGAAGAGTTATTTTTGACTAGATCACACGTTTGTGTTCGCTGAATAACAGACAAACGAATCTAGTTTTTCCCCGGATTCGAAAACAGGACATTTAACGTAATGCTGGGCAACATTATTTTCGATGTGTTACACAAAAAATTATTAAGTAATCTTTTGAACTGACTTTACGATTTAGTACAGTCGTGTACATTTTATTTCAAACATGTTATTACGAACATGCTTACCGTACATTTTACGTATATATACCTTGTCGTTAAGCATGTTCGCTCGTGTTAAGATAGTATAAACGATGTTAAGGAATATTTAAGATAAGTTACTTCATTAATAGCAACTTATAATTATGTTTATTTTTGCCACCGAATTTAAGCGTTTTTCGTTATCTATACGCACGTGTACGCACTAATCTCAGGAACAACTGGCTCGAATTGAAAAATATTTTTCTGTTAATTAGAGCATTTATCAAGTCTAGGATAGGCTTATTAGGATCGAAGAAACAGCGGTGAATGTGGTAAATACGGGAAAAATCATTCAGACTTGTGGGTTTCCGAAACGGTTACCCAAAAAATATGTATTAAGGAATCTTCAAATTATCTAAAAAAATGTCCGAGACTATTTCTTTTTGGACTACTTTGCAAGAACGGTGGCGCACGACGGACGTCGTGGGTGACAGCGTAAATGTATTAAGATGAAGAGGAGGATTACTACAAAACCAAATGCGGATACCCAAAATAACTATTATGCGCGGACTAAGTCGCTGACACAGCTAGTTTTAGAAATACAATCAGATTACGTTTTATTCTTTTTATCTAACATGCGCACGATTTAATTAAATCAAACATTCCAAACCGATTTCCTCGATTACGATAATTCTCTAATTGAGTCACTTTAGGTCAACGACAACGTGCGATATAATACTAAAAGCGTTATTTATAAGTGTCATTTGCGTCAATGAATATTTAACCTTATTTGTATGGCATTTGAGTTCATTCTCGATTAATTTTCTACTCGCATGCAAATGAATGTGGACCACTCTGTAAGGGCAATCTTAATTAGCGCGATACAGGAGTTTATGTATTTGCAGCGGTGATCATTACTAATGTAGGCGCTTGTGCGTGATAAAGGCGGCCTATCTCCTAGACTATGATTTTCAATATAATTTTATCTGCGTGATTATTTTTAGCTTGTATGCGGGAGGCCTTACGTACCCTAGGAAGTAAAAGAGCTAGTGTTTTAGATAGCTGCAATTTGTAAATTATTATAAACGCTCTCGTGATCACGGCTGCTGCAGCGTACGAAACGTCGGCTGTATTTAAAATACACTTTAAATAAGTTAACGTTTCACGTTTGAAACCGTTGAAAGTGTTTAATTAAATACAAACATACAAACTTACTGTAATTTTTAGGTGTCATCTATAGTGCTAACTCTTATTAATATAAAACAAATATGTTTATTTAATAGGTAGGTGGAATTATAACTTAAACAAATCGATTTGAGCTATTTTATATTTAATTTAACTTGCTCTAAATTTATATTACTATAAAGCCACTTAATAAACTACTTATGTCTCCCATAAGAAAATTTATTTATATTTTAATTTATTTTTTATTAATGTTTGAATAATTATTACGTCAAATACTTTTAAATAAGGTTGTTAAGTACGTAAATAAACATTGATTTCAGATAAAATGTCATCATTAACTATATAAAAAAGATCAAGCCACATACGTTTTTAGAGATTGTTTAAACAAACCTGAGAAAAAATACTTTGTATCTAATATTGGTAATCTAAATGGTGGTGGTGAATCATCCCAGCCATATAATATGTAAACAAGGATTGGATATTCGGATAGAATTAAGATATTCCTACCACCAGTTTAAAATACTGATTTCCAGGCGAAATCCAACAAACGTCAGAAAATTACGAATTGATTTGAAGCATGTTGGAGCCGTTGCGGATCGGACCCATGACCCGTTGCTAGACATTGCTACCGTTGCACCAACGAGCACGTTTGAATAACTTATGAATTCCAAAACGATTGCTTTACAAATTATCAAAATCCTTTAAATTCTTGCTTAACGACACTCGTAATCTGAAACGACAGCGACATTTGTAAAATTTAAATAATGAAATAAACATGTGCGGGTGTGAACTATCCTATGTATAATTGAATGAATAAATAATTAATTATTCGAATGCACTAAATGGACAATGTCCATTAGAGCAGAACCGACCAGATGGTAATAACCTATTTTATGGCTTAATCGTTCGTTGATTGCTGGCTGAGGTCAGATGAACTATCTAGTTATAGGTCTACTAGCTGAGTCTGCGACTTCGCCCGCGTAGAATAGTAATTTTGAGCATCCAAAATTGATTTCGCTAATTGTAGTAACCGACGCTATCGGTCGCGTCCCGTCGTTCTTGCGAGTTTGTCTTAAGATAGACATAGCGTCGCTGTTTTAGATCGCTTAAAGAGGAATCATTCTTTTATACGTATTTTTTGGGAAGCTTGCACCAATTTTGCAGCAAAGACACAGGGTGATGTTTTATAGTCGTCCTCGATAAATGCTCTAACCGACACAAAATAATTTTTCAATTCGAACTAGTTCCTGAGTTTAATGGAAATATTATTTTCGGGGAGGAATTGAAAGGAGAAGGAATTATTAGGTTACATGGTATAACATAAGATAGCGTTACCCTTTAGATGGAAAAAATGTGGATACATTTCTGTGGCTATTTCAGCGATCGATTGCATATAAATCAAACACTTGATCGAATAAACAGTTTGAAACGCGAAATGTTTTTGTTGTCTTTATTTAATTAATATACATTACTACTAATTTTAACTATCTAGTAGTACCAAAAACTTAATCAGCCTATTACGGGTTTTAAACCGTTAATGTTTCATTTAATGACTATTTATTATTTAATTTAGTTACTTCATATATCTACATATGTCTGAAAACAACATATACCGCCGCCTCTACTTGTGTGTAAATAAGATTGATAAGTGAAGCAGACACAGAAATGTGTTCGCCCCATGCCCCACGTAAGCGTGAATTATTATTTCAATAGTTTGGAAACTGAACTGAGCGAAAACGTCCGCAATAATTAAAATTCAAAGCCGAGGGGTTCCACTAACGGCAGACTAATAATAAATGAGGTAGACTTAGCTAATACAAGTTGAATTATGTCAATTACTTATATCATCGGTTCTTAATTGATGAGAAATTTATTGGTATATTATAAAGCGTAGTTTATTATTTAAGTTTATACCTCTCGATATTTATTGTAGGTAGGTATGTAGGTACTTAACTATGTAGGTGCCTATATTTCTTTGTGTGTTGTGTTTTTTTACAATACATATAAATTTCTCCTTCTATAAAACTTCTGAAAACTTTATTGTTTTGTGATAAATTGACATTCCAAATAGTTAGAGAAGCAGCAGGGATCTCTGTGGATATCGGTTTAGCCCCCCCCCCCATTGTCTTCAATATTTTTTATTTTATTTATACGTTGCTTAATTATTGAAGAAGTAGAGTAAAAGCAGAGTTCTGTTAAATTGAAAATCGATTATAAATTGATAAGATATACGACACGGTAGCCCAATGGATTAGAGCAACAGCACGGAACGCTGTGGTTGCCGATTCAAGTCCTGCTTGTGTCGAAATGTTTTTTCAATTTTGTAACGAATTTTAATTTATAGAGTGCCAACGTGTATAATAACATGTGAAAAATATTAAAGTTTTTAAAGGTCTATTAGCTGAAACATGCAGTCCTACCCTTTTTCATAATCTTTGAAAAATGCAGAGAAATTTTAAAGTAATACAACCGATGGTACTTTTAGCCGACTGCGCACATCCGCGACTAATCGAGCGGCAAATCCACGAAGGCTTTATAAATAATTCAGGCCCTCTGTATTATGTTAAGTGGGGGTCTCCAAGTTTAGAGATGCTTTTGACTCCTCTTCAGTTAATGAACCTCTCTACGATACTTCATTTGCGGAGCTCTTACCTTAAGATTTTCGGTATGAAAGCCTTGAGTTGTACCTATCTTAAGTATGAGGGTTTAGGGTTGAATTAAATTAAATTTAAAGTTATGTAAGATCAGTTTTAAGCAACAGAAATTTATTTCAATCAGATTATTTTGTGTCCTCACAAAACTTTTGTATTGTGTAATCTTGTATGCGGAGTAAATAAAACCAAAATGTAATCACGATATTAAATAAAACTCTTTTAATATTTTAAAACGTTACGTAGGATCGTATCCAAATGGAAAATATTATTCTTAAATACGACCCGACGTTTCGGATGCCTTGCAGCAGCTGTTGTCTCCTGGTTACGCGGGGAGAGAGTGTTGCTGTCTTAAATAAATATTTTAATATGTTTGTTATAAAATTCGGTTTCCTTTGTTTCAGACGCCAAACAGCAGAAGAACGAGAAGCTGAACGTCAAGCAGCAAATCGCTTGATGTTGTCGCTTCAAGCGGAAGCGTTAAGCAAGGGCTACATGCCGGAACCACCGTCTGCTGGAGCGCTTTCAGCGCTGCATTATCAGCAGAATCCAGCTCCTCAACCTGCATCCAACACAGCATTAAGCGCTTTACAAAATTTACAGCCATGGGCTGGGACCCACGGCACCTTCTTGAACGCACAAAATACAGCGCCGGCAGCGCATCCGCCACCGGTTGCGTCGCCAATTTGTTGAAATTCGTTCTGAATTTAAAAATTGTGTATTCTAAAGAGATCCTCACTACGGTTTTTTGAAACGTATCTCGATGTAAATAATTCGTTTTTAAGCAATGTAAATATTAGTACTTAAAATATAATCTTAGATAAATAGGTAAATTTAAAAGTGTAATAGATCATAAATTTATATAATTTATTATAAGGTTTTACGATGAATAAACATAAGAAATATGAAATAATTGTAAATATAAGAATGGTTGTAGGTACACCATTTTCATACATATGGATCATTGTAATTATTTTGAAAACAACTTTTAATTTACAAACAGTATTATTAAAACTAATGTAGTGCATTAACGCTGAATTACTCTAGATTAGATAAAAAACCTGTTTCCTTTGCGTATGATAGTTTTTAAAAATTAAAACATAACTATAATAGCTACCTTATTATTCTAGATTAATTTCCAATCAGTAGGTTTTCCTGTTGACTACATCAATGCCAAAATAATAAATTATTTTGATCAGCGAATAATATAAAAATATATCAAAACCTTATAATGTTTAATAAGAATATGTACACATACTAACTTTACGAAGAAGTAACTTCCTACATAAATCAATTATTCTTCAATGATATAAATAGATTATATTGTATATAATTTAGAAATGATGAAGGCAAGATATAATTTCAAGTAGCTTAACATAGTTTTAAGATATAATTTCTGTTTTAATAATGTATGCATAAAAGAAATATAAGAATTTTAATTATAACGGGGTGAATGTGGCAGTTTGTAGTTTACACAAGTGGTAAAAATATTTTTAACGGTTTCAAATGTGAAGATTATTACGATGCACTGTAAATCTGTGGATGCGTTTTGAACCGTTAAACATGTTTCATCCAAGGATGAATGCAGTTCGGAAATTGTTTAAACCGTGTTTTTGTGGTATAAACATTTATGTAATGAGCTAAAGAAATGTAGAAATCGCCTATTTATGTACATACTCAGCACTGATTAATGTTCGACATTAAACTATAAATTAAAGAAATAATCACTTGTTTTATTTTACTATCCGATAACAATAGAAATTGGTTCTATACTGGGAAACTTATTCATACAACACTTATTACAACTAGAGATAAGCGTTCACTTGACGCAATGTATTTATATGCAAAACCATAGACAAAAATCTACTGTATGAAATAAACGAATCTCATTAATAATAAGTTTTCTGATATATCTATACTAATATTAGAAAGCTGAAGAATGTGTTCGTTTTTTTGAACCCGCTAACCTCAAGAACTACGGGTTTTAATTGAAAAATCAACTCGCAAGATCGAAGGGACGCGACAGACGTCGGGGGTAACGCCTATAATTTTTAAGAATGAGAAGGTTTGCGAAATCGAATTTGTATGCCCAAAATAACTATTCTACGTGAATAAAGTCACTGCCAGAGCTTATATAAAATAGCAAGTGTCTACTAATTACGATAGTGTCATCAAGCCATAGACGATATGCTACGCGTATTAGGCGTAGCTGTTACCTAAAACTCCTTCATCGACAGACACAGTTCTGTGCCCGTTTCACTGATCAACTTCAATAACAGATTAGTTGTTTTACAGACTATATCGTAGTTCATATATCGTAGACTGTATATATATATATATATATACGATACAGTCTCGTCAGAACTCGTAGTTCATCTTTATATATATATAAAGATGAACTACGAGTTGCCGGGTACGTTGTTCGGATGAAGACACTGAGGAAACTAGAGGGCAGACCTGATGGTCGCCCAAGAAGAAATTGTGAGATATTAGAGAGCAAAATATATAACTTAAGTATTCAGTTGAACAGTGAAAAGTTTGAATACCGAATAGTACCCGAATATTCGTAGCAAGCCTACATCTAAGATATGTTAAAAATAAGCGGAGACGTAACTTTAATCGCTTCCTTTACTGATTTGAAAGTTCACTGTAATAAGTTTTAAAGCAAAGACAGCAAAACTCCCGACAAAGCGATTTTGTTGGGTCTTTTGGTGTACTGGGTGTGTCGTTACAGACATTTATTATATGTACTCGTAAATAAAAACAAATTGTGTTTTTAAGCTTGAAGTCGCCGTCAGGAAAACAAGGAAATTAAGTAGAAATATAGATGGAACTGCCAAAATTTATTTCAAATATTCACTTAACACGACCTTATAGCACAAACTTAAGCATGTATCGATATCTTTATTTGTTCGTAATGTTCTTTACATTACGTCCCGTTTTAGAAAAAACGTAATTATTTAATATAATTTTTTTGCTTTTTTTTATATTTCTGGATCTAAAAGGTAAAGTTTTAATTGGTGATTACTGTACTACGGCTAATACTGTAAGTTTGTTATCTGTAAATAAATAAACAACCACCATACCTATAATGATAGTGGTAGTTTAAGTGGCTCACTGTCTTATGATAAACATAACAAAATATTCTAAGAAAGAAAAGCATATGGGAGAATGAAAATTAAAAAAAACATAAGACTATTGCACTTAGTGAAGTGTTCAAGTAAATAAAACCTTATTGTAAGTTGCTTTATAACATCGAAAAGTAACAAAAAGCAGTTTATATTTAAACTACGATCTAAATTAACTTAAACTATTATGGTTCAAATTTCGAACGTCAATCTAAAGCCACAATTGAAGCGTCCCGAACTTAAACGTCAGGTTATGCGTCACATTAAGAATTTGGACAAAAACAAAATGTCCCTAATAACGGCACAGAAGTCACGTATTTATAATGCCACTATTATCCTTACACCGCAGTCTCATTAAGTTTGGATTACACAGGACTCTATACTTACATACAGGCTGTTGCTTTAGGAAATAATATAAAATATAACTTCTCTTTTTTTTTAGTTAAGTTAAGTTACAAATTTAAAATAGCCAGTTGACTTGTTTTGAAGTGGCTTATCCTTATTTGAAATAATTTTGATGATCAATGCTTAACTTATATTAATTTCAATAGGTATAGAAAAAGGTAAAAAAAATTAAAAAATTAACCACAATATTCATCTATTGATACAATAAACTTCTATTTTTGTACCTACTTCTAACTCCGGCATTTAGTCAAGCTTAAAATTCAGATTTCCCCATGTGGCATTTAGAGAACACACTTCAGTATCCGTTTCACTCAATGATCGGTGATATTTACAGGCAAGCAGTAGATTAAACTAATGTGCCCTGCCCAATCGAAACATATTGTTTCCCCGGGATTCGAAGGAAACCTACACCACTTGCGCTTATCAATGCTTCTCAATACGCTTAACCGTTTAGCTATAAGCTTTAAAGCGTAAAATAATAATAATATGTAATGTTAAATATGATCATTATTTGTTTATAAGTCGTCACGTTCTAGAAAGATAATAAGAATATAATATAAAGAATATTCATATAGTTTTTATAGTAAGCGTAGCGTACTTGGCGTAAGCAGCTTTCAGTCTCTTACATAATCTTGATCATCCTGTATAAACAGCAATACCGATTGTCGTTAAAACGAGCGTTTGAGCGGAAACCATTGTCCTAAATCGATTTCGTTTATTCGAAGACGATTGTTTGTCATATTATTTTTAAGCTAATTTCGGGGTTCGAAATCATTCAAAACGTTTGAAGGTTTTCGTAGAATTGCTCTAATGGAGGCTCTACGGATTCTTTGTTCTAATTTACTGAACTTTTAAACTTATTTTAGGCAAGCCTTTGGCTTAGTGAAAAACACCCTTATCAGTATGTATAAAATACAGACTAAATAAATAACACAATTTTTTGATTGTGACAGACGATGACAGACAAACATGGGGCCCACTTGATGGAAGTTGAAATAGCCTAGCCATATAATACTTCACTAGACTGCGCTGTTGTTTTATTTTGGCGTTTGACATTTGGCAATCGACAGACTGAAAACAAAACGCGATTAAGCTTTAAGGCTTTTTCTTATCTGTGGACGGTGGTTCGTCACGCGGACGGAATTCCGATATTCCTACCATCCATTTAATATCCAGTTTACTAGGCGAAGATCCATGTCGTACAAACGTGTTCCCAGGTCCCCCAAAGCACCGTAGAGGGCTGGTGGTGTGTTTAGTGGTTCTGGTCGGCTATACCATTTACCATACTCCCCATGTCACTATTGCCCGACGTGGGCATGCATTAGGCATTCACACACCATCACCACCATTAGAGACATGTTGGATCCGGTGAGTATCGAACCCACACCCGTTGATTTTTAGCCATAGCTACCGTAAAACCAAAAATTTATAGTTTGCCCCTATACCTGAAAAATAAAATTAAATATAATTTAAATAAAACACTTTAACGGTTTAAAACGCGATATATTAGTTAAACTTATTTGAAAATGATTTTTAACTTCGGCCCGACGTTTCGGATGCTTTGCAGCAGTGGTACGGGGAGACCACGGCTGCTGCGCGGGGTGGTCGCGTTTTAAACCGTTAAAGTGCTTTATTTAAATGTGTACTACTCGCGTAGACTATAGACAGTATTTAAATATAATTTTCTGTCAATAACATAACTAATTTAACATAGATTACTAAAATAATTAAAATATAATAATTCTGCTACAAACCTGACGTGGGCAAATAAAGTTGTTAATTAATAACAAGTTTAAATTGACATGTGTACTTTGCCAAGACAAGTTTTTAAAAAGTTCGTTTAATGATCGCGTGACAGGTTCCGAATTAGCTTCTAAATGAACTGTAAGGGAACCGAATCTGAGACTTGACGCTCGATAATTGTTGTAGCGTGTATCTGTGGTATTATACAATCAAGGAATATTGACACGTTTACGGTTACGCTGTATGTATAACAAGGATTTTTTAAGTTAAAATACTTTAATATATGCAATTTATAACTTAAAAATGTTGTCTAGTTAATAAAATAATTGTTAGTTAAGATAAATCAATGAATTATTAATAAAGACAGAAAATTCGTAATCGATGGCATGGTCTAGTACAAACCTATCTATTTCTTCA